TAGGGGGACACCCCAAGAGATCAGTGGGCACCCCAAGAGACAGACACCCCAACAGATGGACACCCCGAAAATGAGGCAGACACCCCTGCAGATGGCTGGGCGCTTGGAGAGATGGACAGACACCCCAACAGAAGGACAAACAGCCAGTCCTATGGAGGTACAGGTACCCCAACCAAGAGGGACACCCCAATGAGCTGATGGATGCCCCAGAGGACAGAGGGACACACAGGACACGTTGAACTTGCCCCCTCCTCCCCACCACGTGAGAAGGGTCTGGGGGCCAGAGATGGGGACAGCAGGCTCAGGGAGGGGGCAGGTGCACCCCGCTCACCTGTCCCAGGTCAAGGAGGAAGCAGTCCCCCGAGTTGAAGCTGGCCCAGGCTGGGTCTCGCTCACTCGCCCGGATCTTCCTCTTGCCCTTCACCTGGTACAGTTTGGGTGCAGGGCCGGGGCCGGGGCTGGGCCGGGTGGGCTTGAATGCTGAGGCCACACCACCCTCCTGCTGGCACAGGGGGCTCAGCACTCCGTGGGGTGTCCAGCACCAAATGGGGGTGGCAAACACCCAGCATGGATAGTTAGCACCTGGAGGGGATGCTGAGCACCCCATGGCTGTGCTGAGCTCTTGGTGGGGTGCCCAGCACCCAGTGGGGATGACAAGCATCCAGCATGAATGTGAGCACCCAGAAGGGATGCTGAGCACCTTCTGAGGGTGCCCAGCACCCAGTGGGGGTCCCTCTTGCTCAGCACAGATGAAGCAGAGTAGTGAGGGTGTGGAGAGCCCAACGGTGACGCTGAGCACCCATCTGGGGTGCTGGGAGCCTGGTTGGGGTGCTGCGTACTGGGAGGACCCCAAGTGCCGCTGGGCACCCCAGTACCTGGTAGGTGAGGCCGTGGGAGAAGTACTCCATGAAGAGGTCAGACTCGTTGCCCTGCACCTCACGGTGGGTGACGGGGCGCTCGCCCAGCAGTGAGCTCAGCTGGGTGGAGAGGAGGGCACAGGCGCCCCGCTCGTCCTGCGAGGAGTCCCGGCCTGTGGGCAGCCAGGTGAGCACCCAACCCCACCTACCCCCGGAGCCCCACAGTCCCTCCAGCACTCACCCATCCACAGGTGGAGGTGGGCGCGCTCCTCCGGCCCGTTGTGCAGCACCAGGTAGGAATCCCCGGAGAAGAAAACCCCCCCGGGCGGCCTCGGGGACCTCCACGGGCCGCAGCTGCTCCACCCGCCAGATGTGCAGCCCCGGGAGAGCGGCAGCAGGGCCGAAAGGGGAACCACTGCGGGGCAGGCAGGGGTGAGAGGGGGGCAATCGGGGAGGGGGGGGCAGTGGGGAGGGGACGTACCTTTTGGGGAGCGCGGTGTACATGGCGCTGGGGTGGTAGAGACGGATGGATGGACGGACCTGTGGATGGACGGATGGGGGGACACCGTGAGATGGACGCAAAGGATGGAGAGCCAGAAGGTCAAGGACACCCCAGGGGACAGATTATTACCCTGGAGGACAAATGGGTGCCCCAACAGATACCCAGAAGGACAAGTGGACACCTCGATAAACAATTAGACACTCAGAAGGACAGACAGATATCTGGACAGGTACCCAGGACAGAGGGACAACCCATTAGACAGACAGACACCATGATGGACAGATGGACACTCAGAAGGACAGACAGATGCCCCGACAGACAGATGCCCCAACAGACACACAGAAGGACAGACAGACTTGCCAGCAGACATCCAGAAGGGCAACTGAACACACCCAGATGGGCAGAGGGACACCCCGATGAACACCCAGATGGACAGAGGGGTACCTCACCAGGGAGACAGATGCCACAATGGACAGACAGACACCCAGAGGATGGACAGACACCCCTACGTACTGGTGGAGACCTCTATGGGTAAGGGAACACCCCCATGGACACACACCCCAATAAATGGACACCCAGGAAGATGGACAGACACCCAATAGTCAGAGGTGTCCTGACGGACAGTCAGACACCTGGAAGGGCAGACAGACACCCTAGCAGACCGACAGACCCCACGGGGGTGGGATGCACCAGGACAGACAGACAGAGATCCCCGAGGCACAAATCCCATGACAGACAGATGGACACCGCGCCAGCCCCTCCTCCGCACGAACGGACGGACCCCCGCGACGGACAGATGGACCCCCGAGGGACGCCCCGAGAAGCCCCGGCTCCGTCCAAGGCTCCGGCCGAGCAGCACCGACGGACGCCCCAACACCCGGAAGGCGCCGGCGGTGACTCAGGAGCAGGAAAGGGTGGGGACGGGGAGGGCGAGCAGGGGGGGACGGGGCTGGGCCACCCGTGTGGCTTCAAATGGAGGGGGCACTGAGCCCTGGGACCCCCACTCTGCTGGGAGCCCCCGCCCCCATGGGCTTCCCCTCCCCTCTGGGACCCCCACCCTGCTGCTGGGACCCCCACCCTCCTGAGCGCCGCCCCCGTGCAGGGGCCACCTAAACTCTGCCGGGACCCCTCCCTCCTGGACCCTTCCCCACTCTGCTGGGAGCCCCATTCCACTGGGATCCCCCCTCACCCTGCTGGTACTCCCACCATCCTGGGGACTGTCCTGGGGATCCCCCCCTCCTCCTGAGCAACCCCCCAACACTGCTGGATCAACCATACTCTCATGGAACCCCCCCACCCCACTGCTGGGACCCCCACCCTCCTGGATGCTCCCCCCGGGAGCCCCACCCTGCTGGGACCCTCATGGGACCCCTCAACTCTGCGGACACTGTACCCCATCCTACTGGACCACCCCCGTCCAGGGCACGCCTCTCCCCAGGACCCCCACCCACTAGAACCCAGTGTCACCCAGAGCACAGAGTGCCACCCATGGGCCACCCCCCCCGGGGGCTCCCAGGCTTCTTCTCTCCTGCCAGGGGCTGGGGCAGGCTTGGGACCCTACGGGGGTTGTACTGGGAAGGGGGGACTCTACTGGGTGTGAAGACTATACTGGGAGCTGTGCTGGGTGTGCTCTGTGGGGGGCTGAACTGGAAGGGGGCTGTATTGGGTGAGGGACTGTGCTGGGGGGTCCACACAGGGGCTGGGATTGGAGGGGGTGTGCTGGGAGCTGTACTGGTGGGGTTGCACTGCGAGGTTGTGCTGAGCTGTGCTGGTGAGGCTGGATTGGGAGGGGGTTATACTGGGGGACTGTACTAGGAATGGGGGGGGACTGTACTGGGTAGGGGTGTCTGCTGGGAGCTGTACTGGTAGGGCTGCACTGGGGGAGATATCTGTACTGGGAATAGGGGGGGCTGTACTGGGGGAAGGCTGTACTGCGGGGGATTGGGGATTCTGTAGTGGGGGAGCCATGACAGGTTAGGGAGGCTGTCCTGGGAGTGGAGCTGGAAGGGGAGGCGTCACGGGGGGCTGCATGGGGTGGGGTGGGGGCTGCAGCAGAGGCTCACTGGGCTGCACTGGGAGGCACTCGGAGGTGCAGGTGGGGCCCCCCCAGCTCCCGGCAGGCCCCAGCATTGCTGGGCAGTGAGTCATGGCCGGGGGGGCCACATGTGTGACGAGGGGGGGGCCACGCATGTGACGAGCACGGGAGGCCTGAGCTGCCACGTGGCCCCACCACCACCGCGGCCCAGGGAGCCTGCGGGGCCCGAGCGGGTGGGGGGCACCCAGTGCACCCCCCACCATCACCCCCTGCACCCTCCAGCACCCCAGGGGGCACTCCAGGGGTGCACACTCCAGCCTGAACCCCAATCCCGGGCAGGGGGAGTGTTGGGGGGGGTCACACATGTGTAATGTGTGCGCAACACGTGTGCAGGACGTGTGCAGTGTGCAGTGCACGGTCCCTGCGCGTGGTCCTGCCCCACACGCAGCTTGTCCTGTGTGCTCCGTGTGCAGCGTGTGCAGGGAGCCCAGGGCACTGCCAGGCATGTGCAGGGTGTGTGCAGTGCATGTGCCATGTGCTGTGCACGTCTCATGTGCAGTGTCTTCACGTGTGTAGTGTGTCCATGTGCTGCTCCAGCCAAGGGGGTTCCCGTGTGCTGTGCCTGCAGTGTCACGGGTGCAGGGGGGTGTGCCCAGGTGTGCGTGAGGCCCCGAGCCTGCATGTGCAGCACCCACAGGGGTGCAGGGGGGACAGGAGTGCAGGGGGTAGCGGGGGTTCAGGGTTTACAGCAGCACAGAGGGGTGGGTGGTACAGGGGTGCAGGGCTTACAGGGGGTTCAGGGCTTACAGGGGGTTCAGGGCTTACAGGGG